TTAAAAAAAAAAAAAAAAAAAAAAAAAAAAAGTGTGGGGAGTAACTGTACGTGGGAGGACAGACATCAGGACCTGCAGCAATGTACCTGCATGTGTATTGAGAACATCTGTCCAGAGCAAGCAAAGCAGGATCTGGACAAGGAGAAAGATACCACCTGTCCCTCTACCCACCTCATGCTTCATCAGGCACTTGCCCAGGTCTGTGAGCTCTGCCACAGATGAAGGGGTTACTTCGGTGGCCATCATCTCTTCATCTGTAAGCAATGCAGAACATTAATCTCCATTCTTACACAACAAAGAGGAATAGCCAAACGGGATGTTCTCAGCTGGCTGGCAGTGAGCAGGGCTACACAGCCCTCCATGCCAGGAAGGCTGCAGGCACTAGACTATTTCATGTGAGTGCCCAAGCAGACAGGCATGGATTTAGTTACTGGAGTATAAAAGGAACAGCACAGTCCTTTCCCTGACAGCTTACATAGCAAGGGACACAGGCAATAAATGAACTAAAGAGAAATGCAGATAGCTGAAATGAACATGAAGAAGAAGAGATTTCACAGTGCTTGGGCCTGTGAGGCTTGGCAGATCAGACAGGAAGGCCTCATGGGGGAGATAACATTTGAGCAGAGACTGAATGAGCAAGAGGTCACATCTATCCTGGGAAGAAAACCACTTTGGACAGAGGAAACAGCAAGCAGGCTAGCACAAGACTAGATATATCCTGCTCTTTCTCCAAGGGTAGTGCCACAGATGACTTACCATCACCATCCACAGTGGGGACAGCACTGTGGTCACCAGTCTTCTTTGATACACAGCAAGCCACTAGAAGAGAGCACAGCTGCTAGACCAGGAGAAAGGAGTATCGACCCATGGCATGACAGTCACCTCAACAACTGATCCCAGGCCATTTCCAGACCAGGAGAAGGGAGTATTGACCCGTGGCAAGACAGTCACCTCACCAACTGGTCCCAGGCCTTTTCTGGCCAGGTGAAAGCTGGTGGGTAGATACTGTTCAAGGAATATATCAGCTTCACCATTAGAAGGAGGTATTCTGAGGGTCCCTCTTCCAGTCAGTTATCTAGGGGGGACCTTATAGACTCTTCTGAGAATAAACGACCAAGGAAGGTGACTGACACATCCTTAACTACTCTGGGAATAAATGACCAATACTGAATTCTTCAACATTTCTGAAAATAGAAAACTGATGTCCATGTCTTAAGAAGTGAACTTTTTCCTATCTTGATAAGCTAGAAAGTGATTGCCAACAACACTGCCAATACTGTTCCTATTTTGGATCCCTGTCTTCTTATTTGTAACTTAGTTCACAGCTTAGAATCAGCGTGATTGATTTAAAGACTATTAGCTTCTGCTTATCAGCCCAGACCTCTGCCCCAAGCCTAGCCTGTGCAGGGCAGCTGGGTGAGCTTCCCTGGCCCCCCCACGCCACTTACTGATTAGGTCCATGACTTCTCGGGTTAACATCCTCACCAGTTGTTCCTCTAGCATTTCTTGAGACTCAGGGTTGTCCTCCGCAATCTCGTCCTCTCCACTGCCGAGAACCAAGGACCAAGTTCCATGGGAGATTGAAGGATGCAAGGGCAAGGAAAAGGGACCCTCCCCAGCACACCTACATCTATGTTCTAAAGGTACAGCAGAGATGGACAGCAATCCACTGAGGGACATTATCTCTTGTGACTCTGCTTGGCTGGATGGAGGGCTAAGGAAGGTCCCCATGGGAAAGCTGAATCTCAATATCAGGCCACTCAGTGGGAACAGACTCTCATGTAAGCTGGGAATGACTACAGCACTGCTATTCCAGCCCTAGGATCGACAAAACCGGGCCGCCTGCCTCTTCCTCTCCCCACCCCAAAGCTGGCTGCTGGTTTACCCGCCAAAGAGTGGCATTCCTTACCACAGCACACTCCTCTGGTTGATGACATGCCACTTCTGGGAAAGCCTCTGGAGAAACAAGAGGAAGAAGGGCTAGGATAGGGAGAGGCTGAAGCACATAGCATCTAAGGTCTACTTCTCTTTTTTTTTTTTTTAAAAACCTAAGAGGCTCTTACTCTGTAGCCTATGCTGGCCTAGAACTGACCATAAATCCTAGGCTGGCCTTACACTTGTGGTAATCCTCCTGTCTCAGATTCCTTAGAGCTGGGATTACATGTGTTAGTGCATACACATAGCTATGAAGGTTTACTTAAGCAGAGATAAATAACTAGAAACTTAAATCCTTACATCAACCTACAGACATTTTTTGAACCGTAAACTGAATTGTAACAAGGCTCAAATATGAAAACGGAATCTAAAACAGGAACTTGAATTAATGCTGGCAATGACTTCTAATATGATCAAAACAGTTTAATTCTTGGTCATGGACATCAATTTTCTATGTTCACAAATGTTGAAGAATTCAATATTGGTCATTTACTGTTAATCCAAGGTAGTCAGGGATGTGTCAGTCACTTCCCTGGTCATTTATTCTCCCCCTAGCAGCCACCCAATACAGTGGAACAAAGATTTAGTTTCTGTAACCGTATTCCACCAATGATATGTTCAGTGTCTCTGCTTAGATTAATGATACTTGGAGAAGTTTTGGGCCTCTTTGGGCACATCTATTCTGTTATGCTGGATCATTCCAGAGCCAAAGACAGACCCAGGGGAAACAGTTCCTTGATCATTTCTTCTTGCAGGAAGATGGCAACACAATGTACACTTGAAGGCACCCCACAGCAGCAATAACTTCCTAGGATGATGCCGCGCAGCCAGCACGGCGGGGGAGAACACTTTCAGGGGCTTCTTAAGACAAGATTCAAGAGCAGTCAGTCATCCATCTCTGTGTATTTGGTGTATGTAGTTGTTTTGCATGCAGTGACTACACATATGTGTAGAGGCTAGAGATCGATGTCAGATGTCTTACTCTATCACTGTCCACCTTAGTTTCTTAGTCTCCCTGAACTTGGTACTTATTAATTAATTAACATAGTCTGTCTGGCAAAAGAGCTCCAGGGTTCCACCCATATCTCTATTTCCCCAGTGCTGAGGTCACAGATGTGTGGTACCACATCTGGCTTTCATGTGTGTTGTGAGCACTTCAGAGACCATCTCCCAACCTGGGCCATGTATTTAAGGGCACCCTTTGTCCCACTTCCCTGACCCACTTACCATGTGGAGGTATGTGAAGAGAGGTCCAAGGATGGGAGCTATGAGGGATTCATAGTGTTCTGGGGGACAGAAGAGCACAAGGGGCTTCACAAAGACACGTGCTGCCATGTGTTAAGAACATTTAGCACTGAGCAGACCCTTCCATTTCCAGGCACCAGGCTGTACTACTGGGCTTTCAGAGAAAAGGAATAACCCTATGGTGACAGCAAAAGCTCCTCACTGTCCTAGAACCCTAAGCTGCACATACACTCAATTCTTTTGCATTTTTAGCTTAACTGTCATTTTTTTATTTAGCTGTACGATGTGGCCCTGGGCATCTAAACAGTAGCCCCCATTAAAGGCATCCTCATAAAAAAGGGTCTGAAAGATGATGAAATCTTGAGTGTTGCTTTCAAAAGAAGGCACCTAGCTGGGTGTACGAGTAGACACCTTCCAGCTACCCAGAAGGCTAAGGCATGAGGGTCACTTGTGTCCAGAAGAACAGTGAGATTATTACTCAAAATAAAAACAGGAGGTAGAGGCTGGCCAACATCCTGTCTCAAAACACCAAAACCCCAAAGTAAATAATACAAAACAAAAGCCAGGTGGTGGTGTATGCCCAGAACTCCAGCATTCAGGAGGTTAAGGCATGCTTAGGGCTAGCCTAGACTATATAAAAAGTCCCTGGAAAAACCAAACCAACCACAAAAGGAAACACTAAGCAAAATATAGAAAAGGAAATAAATTTGAAATTTGTGTCAAGTGGTGGTGGTATGTGCCTTTAATCCCAGCATTTGGGAGGCAGAGGCAGGTGGAACTCTGAGCTCGAGGCCAGCCTGGCCAACAGAGTAGTTCCAGAACAGCCAGGGCTACAGAGAAACCCTGTCTCGAAAAACAAAAACAAAACAAAAAACAAACAAAACTTGTATTTCTAGGAAGTAGGAAGACCAGAGAAAAGATTATGAGGCTTTTGTAAGGCACCCCACCCTCAGCCTGAGCTGCATTCCTGTTTTCTCTGCTATTTGCTTATTTATTTACTTCAATCCTTTTGTCTATAAAGAGGTCATGATGCACTTAAGTATATAGTTCTGCCTGTTCCCTGCAGTTAAGTTTTCCTTCCCTCTGCCCTGTCTCTAATTGTCTGATTACTGGGTTAACTTTCTGGATTACTCAGGGCCATTTCAAGGATATGAAGCATAGATTTGAGCCGGAAGTCAGGAATATTGTTCAAGTTGACGAAGGCTGAACCAAGGAGCTGGGTAGCAAGGTCCTCTACAGTGTAGAAATCTTGCTGCATGGAAGGGCCTGCCTTCCCTAGGATATGGTAACTGCAAGGCAAAAATCACTGGTGATAACTAATATGCAATATGTCAGCCCACTGATTCTTCAAGGAGTCTTTACTATTTGATTAAGTGAGGCTACAGCTCTGAATGCAGAGCCGGGTATCACTAAACCTACAAGCAGGACCCAAAGACAAAGAGCTGGCTAGTTGCTTCTCACTGTTGTATGAGAAACGGACTACAAGCATTTAGCCATCCGAGCAGACAGAGCCCACTTCTACCTCTTGGGCCTCATTGTTATGCACTAGAAACACACAGTGGGTATAAACTTCCAATCCTGGCCAGAACTGTAGGTGCACACAACAATCAACATGTAACGGGGGAAAGCAGGCTCCCCCTTGGACTCACCAGTACCTTCCTTCTAACACTCGCCTCGCCTCACCTCACCTCACACTAGAATTCCTCATCAGACATCTCTGTGTTGTCATCCCTATAAAATGAATGTTCTAGCAAGGGAGCATGGAGCAACAGTGCGAGGACCTTACCAGTTTTCATAGAGGATGCCAAAGAAACGCTGCATTCTTTCCAAAGTAGTTTTGAACATAGGGTGTTCATTGACTTCCAAGAGAGGCTGAGGTAATCCTACAAACATAAAAGAAATGGGTTGGGAACATGTCATTCCCAAAGTGCCACCATCCAAAGGCAGGCACACACGTCTGTGTCTGTGAACATGAGAACTATAATCCAAACGCTTGGCCATATAGTCAGGTAGGTGGAGTACTAAGAGTTCCCGTGAAGGTGTTAAACCTTTCCCTCCTGGCCATTTTCTCCTAACTGGGTACTGGACCATGGGCTAGGTATATGCTAGTTATACTATATCTCCTATTGAGTATCTCCTTTTGCATCTGACATAGTTAGCTTTTACTTCCCAGATCATATTCAAATATACCAGGAACATTGGTGAAAGGCGCCGCCATTTTGGCTAGCATTTCTGGTGTATATAATGGAGACACAACTCTACCACCTACTACTACTAGCACGGGAAAGTGAAGTGATTTGTTGTGGAATGATCTTTTTCTACACCGTGAAGAGTTATCTGATTGGTTTAATAAAGAGCTGAATGACCAATAGCTAGGCAGGAAGAGGTTAGATAGGACCTCTAAACAGAGAGAGAGAGAAATAGAGAGAGAGAGAGAGAGGG